CCCCGTAGCACAGGCTCCTGTCTCCGGCAGCAGCAGTTGGTTGGGCTTTAGCTGCCCCGTTGCCATTACCTGAGGGGCCGTAGCCAGGGGAGGATTTCCAGCAGGCGCTGGCTGCATCGCATCGGCGTCTCTGTTCTTAAGAATTGACCTCTCCTGGCTCCCGACTTTGTCCGTTCGGACCAGGAGCCAGCCGAGGGAGTGTTCTCCTGTATTACTCCTCCCTTCCTCCTCGATTCTCCCTGGAATCAGCCACCGCCGCAATGAGCAGCAACACAAAACGGAATTTTTTTTTTTTTTAGTATTTTGAGTAATTAATGAAGTTTTACTGGGACCTGTGAGGGCTCAGGGGAACCCATCTGGTAGTAGGGAGGTCCATCAGGGTGGCTTCACACTGACCCTTCCAGAGACCGCTCGCCTGCAACGTGGCTGGCTCTGCAGAAGTGCTTTGACTTCATGGTTTTGTTGCTTTAATAATTCACACAGCCTGGAGCTGCGTATAGAAGCGCTTTAATCCATTTTCGAAAGGTCACAAATGCCCACCCAGTAGATATACTGTAAATAAAATTCCCTTAAAGTCTATTCTCAGCTGAATCTCTCTTTGATATCAACACACGCTTGATCCTTTGTCTTTTTTTTTTCCGGCTTTATAAATGGTGGATTTTTCCCCCAAAAGGAAGGCTAGCAATGCAATCCTTTGATACTAAAATCCCACGGGTATTTTTTTGCCCTTGTTTTTTCCTGTGTTGCGCTGGAGCTGGTGTGTGGCTGAGGGTTTGTCAGAGCCGCAGGAGAGTCTCCAGATGTGTGTCCCTGCCGGGCATCGTCCCTGTCCCTCATTTGCACGCTGGCGATGGCCCCAGCCCTGGCATCGGAGGGTAGCCCTGTGTTGTCAGGGGGCTCTGAAGGTGAAGATGTGTTTGGTTTTTAGAAGGGCAGCGTGGCTGGCCAAGAGGGGACAGCCAGGCGAGGGGTGTCCGTGGGTTCCAGGGTGCCAGGAGCCTCTGGTGTTCCACCCCCAGCCCTGCCTGGTCTGTCCAGGCTGCGGGTTGTGGGGGCAGCAGCAGGGGAATTACAGAGCAGCAAATGCTGCCACAGGATTTCGAGTGACGGAGCGAGCGGTGCCTTCAGCTGGAATGAGCCCTGGGACATGATGCTGTGCCCCCGCCGGGGACCTGTTTGGGCTTTCTGAAGGATCAGACTTAATAAGACAGTGATTTATACCAAAAGCTGCCCACTTTTGTTATTATTATATACCCAGGGCCTTATTAACATTTGCATTCGAAACTGCCTGAGGTTTGTTCCAGCCCCCGCCATTCCCTGTGGATGAGTCACGCCGGCGTGGGACAGGCGGTGGGATGGGAGGTGGGACCGATGCTCCCTGGCTGGGGACAGGAAAGCGGCGTAAGAGAGCGGAGGGTGGCAGCGCCCTCCTCCACCCAAAACCTGCTGCTGGCCCGTGGGATCACCCTGGATCCCCTGCAAAGCAAGCGTCTGGGGATCAGGTATTTCCCAAAAACAGTCCAGGAGGAGAAGATGCTGCTGCTGCCGAGGCAGCCCAGCCTCCCGCAGCCCTGCACCTTCCTCGGGGCTCCCTCAGCCCTGCACTCACCCCGCGACGGGCGGATAGACTGCTTTCCTGCCACCGTTTGCAAAAAGGTCGTCAGTGGGAGGAAGCCTAGACGGCAAATCCATAATACATCTTCCCATGACATGTTTGTGTAAAGACAATGAAGTCCTTGTTTGCTATGAATGATGCAGTGCCATCACAGTGTGGGCAAAAGAACCAACTCCCGAGGGGCTGCAGCTCAGCCCTGTGAGCCAGGCTTTCCTAGGGGGGTCTTCTCTTTCCTCTGCAAAATCCCCTGTCAGAGTCCCCCAGTTGCCTCCAGGAGCCCAAAGTGAGAGTGGCAGTGAAGTCCCCATGGATGGGAACGTCCAGCTTGTTCTCATGTGCCCTTCTAAAATTTTTCCGATTGCCTGTGAGTGTTGCAGATGTCTGGTCAGTTATTGTTGTTACTAACCCACGCTGTCTCTCTGACAGTTCAGGATGCAGGCGGGATGCTCTAGGACATCTCTCTGCCAGTTCTTTGCCTGATTTTCCTTTACCCCATTAGCTCTGCCTGGGCTTGGTTGGACCTTTAGCTCTCGTTTGCAGTCTCCTTCTGCCAGACGACACGCGTGCTCCGAAGGCAGCACAGCGTTCGTTCCTCACCCCCTGCTCTCGCTGCTCTTTCTGTTTGCACCACAGCCTGCAGGTACCAGCAGAGGTGTCGCACGGGGGCTGCACGAGGAGCCTCGGAGGTGACGGACCCGCGGTCAGTGCTCAGAGCACAGGGATGGAAGGAGGTGGTCCTCCAAGCAGAGATGATCAATGGGCACACGGTGCCTGGCTTTGCGGGCTGTGTGCTCGCAGCATCGCTGCGGGGGCTCCTCTGGGTGTGGATGCAGGAGCCACGTCCCGAGGTGACCTCCGGCTGCTGCTGCCCGGCGATGCGGTGGAAGCGGGCTGTGCCTTGTGTCAGCAGATGTTTTTTCTCATGTATATCACCGTGTACGCACCAGGGCTAAGTAGCTGTTTCCTGCTCAGCTTCTTCCCAGCTCTTAATGTCACTTGTTTCAATATTCAATTCTAACAACAAAATCCGCACACACCACCCGCCC